CTCCCCCTGCTTGTGTTCCCTCTTTCGCTGTGTCTCTCTCTGTCAAATAAAAAAAAAATTAAAAAAAAATTAAAAGTGAAGAGCAATTAAAGTGACAAAATCATAGTCACAATATTTAGTTCCATTGAGATTTTCGAAAAATTAAATATGTATTTAAAATTGTAAAAGTAATGATCTCTCATCCTCTAAAAAGAACTTCTTGTCTTACTTTCTTTGCTACTATATTAGTAAAATTAATTCTGGACAAATAGAGCCAGATATGTTTATATAGTCTTAAATGTTTATTTTAAAGCAGGATGTGGACAAACTGCCGGACCCACAGGCAACGTCTGGCCTGCAGCCTGTTTTTGTAAATAAAGTTTTATTGTAGCCACACCCCTCCGTTAGCATGACTACTTTCACATTATAACTCAGAGTTGAGTGTTTGCGGCAGCAACCATGTGACCCTCAAAGCTGAAAATACTATCTGGCCTTTTGCAGAAAGAGTTTTGTTGACCCCCTATTTTAAAACATGGAGCAATATTGATTACTAATTCAGTTCTCCCAGTTACTTAATAAATAGGATTTTGGAGGGACAGCTCTCCATTCAGTTCTTCAATCACCACAGGTTGAGCAATAACAGCTTCGAGCTATCCTGCTGCAGCCAACAGAGCTAAGGCCTCTTGGGACCCTGCCACTAGGGTGGAGTGAAACAGCACTTCCTCTCCATCCTCTGGTCCAGCCGAGAATGACTTAATGGCTTTCTTTTTAAAACAACTGCAAAAACCTTTCAGTATTAACTTCAAAATATTATTGAATTTCACAAGTTGGAAAGGTCAGTCATGGAATCAGCCAGTCGGATCCCTGTCTTTCTAGAGTTACAGTTCTCTGGATGCTGATTTCTGATGTAACCCCTCATCTTCTAGACTTTCTACATCCCCGGAGGGGTGGGGCTGCTTACCTTATTCTGTGCTTCAGCCTTAGAATTTAGCTGGTATCTGCTGTGTGCATTGTCAACAAGGACTTACTAAATGAATGACTCTCTGGCTATCTAACCTGCTTAACTGGGTTTTTTATAGTTTCTTATGACGTAAAATATTTAAACACGGTAATTATCTTACCCGTGTTATCTAAGATATTAAAAATCTGGGCACTCAGGTGTTGCATTCATAAATGCACCGATTATATACAAGTGTCTGCTTATTTATTTATTTTTTAGGTGGGCAGTTACATGTCATATTTCAGAGTAGGTTTAATGTCCTGCCAGAGACTTTGGTGGTATGATTTTAGTTGCTGCGCTTGTTCAAAAAGCTGAATAGAGAATAGGAGCACGTGCACAAGCCTGTATCACACCTGGTCAGAGCTGACTTGGCTGTGCTAATGGACCTAGAGAGAATAGCGGGAAAACCCAGACCTACAGGTAATTCTGAAATCACACTTCGTTTGGAATGTGACTTTGAGTGTGGATGTCTGATGTTCTCAATGTGAAAATGCTTTGAGAATATTTTTGAGAAGCATTTATAAGAATAAAATAGTATTTAAAAACCTTCGTCACTACTTGGCAAAGAGATGATTGAAAAATTGTTCCGCTCCCCCATCCGACTCTGTTCCTAACCCTTCTCTGCTTTCAGAACGATAACATAAAAATCTTACACTGCCTGCCCTTCACGAGCTTGCCTGTAGAGTGCTTAGCATAGTCTGGCACGAGAGAGGCACTGGGCATTGCTGTAGTTATTTTAGTGACTTTGGTGTGGAGGGGAGTTTGCTTCAGAAGGCCTTCAGGCATAAGCTGTGAAACGTAAGGCTGGCCTTCTAAATGATGAAGTGAAGTAAGCAGAACCGACACTTTGATCATGATGTGGATTACAGCCAGAGTCAAGTCAACTAGGTAAGGCACTCATTTTACTTACTCATTCAATGTTTTTTTTCCACACTGAAGTTTACATATGTGTAGCCAAGAGCTGACTACACAGAAAATCAATTTAGCTGATGGTAACTTAATCACACGCTTCCCCTATTGATTTTGACTCATTCATATTTGAAGTTCTGGTGTATGCGGTCTTACAATCTTTAGAGTCAACGCACTATTCAGTGGATCATCCTGCATAGATGAGTGAAAGACACCATGCTGGTCCGTTGAGTCTGTTGCGTAGTAAGGTAGTTTAATGCAATGTAGGGGATGTAGAAACTTACTTTTTTCCTCTGAGGGTTTCGTCTAGCTGATGTAGGAATTAACTTGATATGAGAAACATTAACAGGAGGGAAAAAACCAAAATTTTATTATGTGCACATGGAGGTCCAATAAAGAAACTGAAACCCCAAGAAATGACCAAGGCAGGCAGTTTTTACACATTTTAGACAAAAAGACAATAGATCTATGAGGAATTGACAGGATAAAGAAGACAGGTGTTTGGGAGCTTTAATTAGTAAGGAATTCTAAGCAGAATTTAGGCTGAGGTAGTAGATGAGAAAAAAATGATGAGGTTTAATTCTGTAGCTTTCTCAACTTTAAAGTCTCTACCTCTGGTGATAAGGATTTTTTTTTACTTCTTAGTACAGGAGAGTAATTTTCATATGGGAGATTTGTTTCTGGCTTTCACGGGGACAGAGGAGGGTCTCAATGTCCTTTGAGCAGGTTGACTGCCAAGAAGCTTCAGTTCAAAATAAGCAATATGCCATTGTTGTACATTTTGGGGCAGCCTGCCCTGGCCCCCACACCAGTGTGTAGGTTAGTGTCATGGTAGAAGGTAAAGCTCCCTACTTTGGTTTACACATATGTGTGCACGCAAGGTGATGTCACGGTGCCATTGTGAACTGGAATCTGAATCTTTTCTCCTAATAACCTCACTCTGGCCCTTATAAATAGAAGGAAAAACCGAGGGTAGATTTCTATTATACTTAATAACAGAGCTAGTTATAACATTACTAAACATCCTGAAAGGGTCTTTAGGTTCACACTTTCTTCCATTTCATGTTCTAGTAGAGGGCACATGACTTCTTAAGAACCAAGGGCTTTGAAGTCAGAAGCAGTACATTGTTTGTTATGTAAATGCAGCAACTGAAGTGAAGTTTGTCCCCTTGCAAAATCTCTCTGATCATGAATGATGGTAACTTAAAGTGACCCTGTTCCCAAGGGTAGTGTTTTAGTGATTTTTAAGCTTTACAGGAACCTCTGATGGTGGAATTTCAGGCACAGGGTTGAGGTGAAAGAATTTTTTTTTGATGTTTGTGTGGGTGTGCATTCATAAACCTTCCCAAACGTCCTCCAAAAGCCATCACATATCTTTTTTCTTTCCCTCTTACGCTTTTTTTTTTTTTTAATCTGTCCCCCCATAGTGCATCAAAACCTATAACTCTGACTGGCATCTTGTGAACTATAAATTTGAAGATTACTCGGGAGAGTTTCGACAGCTTCCAAAGTGAGTAAATGGTCAGGCCCCACCAGGTGGGGTCATACACATGGGCAACAGTTTTTTGCACTTGAAATGCTTAGGGAGGTATGTAACTTCATATGCAATCAGAGTAATTGGAGAAAATATTCCTAGATGGTTTATATGTATATGGAATAGCTGTTATTTCCAGGGTATTTGTCTTTTTTTTTTTTTTAAGATTTTATTTATTTATTTGAGACAGAGAGAATGAGAGAGAGAGAGCACATGAGAGGGGGGAGGGTCAGAGGGAGAAGCAGGCACCCCGCCGAGCAGGGAGCCCGATGCGGGACTCGATCCAGGGACTCCAGGATCATGACCTGAGCCGAAGGCAGTCGCTTAACCAACTGAGCCACCCAGGCGCCCATTTTTTTTTTCTTTTAATATTTCCAGGGTATTTGAAAGTAGGACTCAAACCTAGCACTCGCGGATTGGTAAATGGTAAAAAACACATGGATGGTTTAGTTATGGCCAGTGGTTCTTTTCAGGATACCACTGATAAAACACAACCGGTAAAGTACCTTCAGTGAGAAGTAGAAGACAAAACGTAAATGCTACAATGTGTTTTATCTTTGAAAGAATATTTTGAAGAGACATAAAAAGCATTTTATAGTGAATAAATTTTATGTTAAAAGTAAATCAGGGGCACCTGGGTGGCTCAGATGGTTGATCGTCTGCCTTTGGCTCAGGTCATGATCCCAGGGTGCTGGGATTGAGCCCCGCGTTGGGCTCCCTGCTCGGCGCAAAGCCTGCTTCTCCCTCTCCTTCTACTGCTCCTCCTGCTTGTGCTCTCTTGCTCTCTCTGTCAAATAAATAAAATCTTAAAAAAGAAAAAAAAAAGTAAATCAAAGAGCACACATTTCCCGACTGTTTTCTTTACCTTCTTTAAAGTATTAATGCGTTCTGGAATACACCAAAAACAAGTGTGTTTAGATTGATTAGTGGTCAATAAAGTGGACCAGGTGTAGGTAGGTCTTGAGAGGTTAAGTTACCAAATGGTACATCCTGAAATGATGCAGTTGGTAAATTTAGTATAGCTGATCATGAAAATCGAAATCAAAATCAAATAATGATGGGTTGTATTTTAAAAGTAACCATCACCAATGAAAATTTTACCTATAATGGAGACCCTATTGATATATTTTTCCTCTGTGTTTGGGGCATCTATGAGTTTGAACCATTGAAACTATTCTCAGTGAACTTTGCTGTTTGTTTTTCCTATTTGTGTGGTTCAGCCACTCCTTAAGAGTGTTCAGCCAACTTCCCGATTGACTCTTTTTGAACCTCAGCTTAAAACACTCCCTTCCAGCATTATCTTCTCCAGATGGGTATGCTCCTTAGCTCTATATTTACCCAGTACTTATTTGGGGATTTTTAAGGTCTTTCCATTTGATTGTATTAACCTATCTTCACTGATAGTCTGGTTCATACTATTCTCCTGGTTATCATAGAACAGACTATGAGATATAGTGAACTTACTGGATGAGATACTTTTACCACTGGTCGATTTCACCTTTGGCATTAATAATTTTCCAGTTGTGTGGTAAGAAAGAGAGGGAGGATTCTAACATAAATTCTGTACTCTGCCTGCATCCTCTGCTCACTCTCCCCTCTGTGAGCCTCAGTCTCCTCACCTATTAAATGGTCTTGACACCAGCCCCCACCATCTAAAGGACTGAAGGAGATAATGTATGTGAAGCCCAGTGCTTAGAACATACTGTTTAATAAATGCAGGCCGCTGTTACTGTGCTTTTGTTAACACTGTCATCATCAAGACCGTGCCTCCCACTCTAAAGGCCATGATCCCATTTTCCATTTTCTCTTACAAACTTCATTTTAAAAGTTATTCTACTGAGGCGCCTGGGTGGCTCAATCAGTTAAGCGTCTGACTCTTGATTTTGGCTCAGGTCATGATCTCAGGGTTGTGAGATCAAGCCCCAAGTCGGGCCCTGCGCTCAGCACGGAGTCTGCTTGAGATTCTCCCTCTGCCCCTCCCCGCGCTCGTGCTCGCTCTCTCTTTCTCTCAAATAAATAAAATAAATCTTTAAAAAAAGTTATTCTACCAAGTTTTTATTTATTAATACACTTTCCCATTTTTTTTTTTTAAAGTAGCCTCCACGGAGCCCAACGTGGTGGGGCTTGAACTCATGACCCCGAGATTAAGACCTGAGCTGAGATCAAGAGTCGGACACTCAACCGATGGAACCACTCAGGCACCCCTATGCTTTCCCATTTTAAATATATCTATGCCAGCTTTTCTACATGGCTTTTGGGGGCTCTCTAACTCTGGAATCACCCGCTTTGCAAAGCAGTAGTGCCGATTGTTTTTATTCTTCAGCTGAGTGGACCAGCTTTGGATTTGTTAAATGTTGGTTCCTCTGATGGTGGAAGAAATGCATAGATTATAAAACAGATTTCTTTCTTCTCTTTAAAGCAAAGTGGCCAAGTTGGATAAACTTCCAGTTCACGTCTATGAAGTTGATGAGGAGGTTGACAAAGATGAGGTAGGCAATTGCTTGCAGATTTAAAAATTGATTTAGTTTACAGATTGCAAGATTGTTGGAAAATTACCAGCATTTAGCCAAAAGAGGAATTGCAATGTTTCTTGAAACGGGAAGAACTTTTTTAAAATGTATTGTCGGATTGACTGAAATAAGGTCTCCCTTTCAACCTGACTGTTCAGGGTACAAGTTCTTCCTGTCTTGTTTATTTGTTCTGAGATCATTTTCAAAGGCCTGGATAAGATTTGGCTACGTTGTTAAAAAATATCAAGATTACTTAGACCTTAAGTTTAGGTTGTTTTTCAACAGGATATCTTGAAACAAACTGGCCACCAGTAGGCTTTAAATGGCTCTTTCTTCAGTAATGGCTTTGAGTGAAGTATATGGTACCAAGAAGCTTTTCTTTTCCTGTCTTTTCTTTAAACAAGCCCACTCCCCCTACTCTTGGAGAAGTGCATAGAGAGAACTGGGCATTAAGATGACTGAGCCAGGGAAACCTAATAAAAAGTCAGTGCAGGTCTCCTGAGTGGCTCAGTTGGTTAGGCGACTGCCTTCGGCTCAGGTCATGATCCTGCAGTTCCGGGATCGAGTCCCGCATCGGGCTCCCTGCTCGGCGGGGAGTCTGCTTCTCCCTCTGACCCTCCTCCCTCTCATGCTCTCTGTCTCTCATTCTCTCTCTCTCAAATAAATAAATAAAATCTTAAAAAAAAAAAAAAGTGAGTGTAACCTGTTTCTCCATTTCTCATTCTCCCCATGAGATGCCTCATTGTGACTTGGGTGGGGCGGGTGTCCTGATTGATTGATTGATTGATTGATTGTCAGCTAAGCCATAACACTGGCCATTCAAGAATATTAAAATGTCCATGGCAGCAAATTATTTTAGAAACCACTTTTAAAATAATTCTGGGAAGAGTAAGTGGTCATCCAAATGAAAAGATATTAAAAAAAAACTTGGTGCTCATTAGTAGTAAGAGGAGAACCCATTGAAATAATGCACGTAAGGGCACACAACAAACTGTAAAATCCTAGATAGGTAAGTTATTTCTTATTGCTAATAATAAGAACATTAAACCACCGATATTAATATTGATATGGTCTAAAACAGAACATAAGATGAGTCTTTCTGCAATTGTCTACTTGATTGCAGCAATAAAGATCACTACTAGAGACTAGTCTTCGGAGGTGTGAGCCGGGTAGCGGGACTCCGTGTGGCCCTCTCTTGCCACTGAGCGCACTGAAGTGTCCAGCGGACACTGCCTTAGAAAGGCGAGGAGGCTGCAAGGGAGCCACACGAGAGAGAACGCGGAGGGCCCTGGGTCAGCGTGTGGCAGCCTGGCCACACTGTGTATGTGTGTGTGTTCACATGTCATCTGTCTGTCTGTCTGATGCACGAGTGCGTGCCTAAAGTATTTTTAGCAGCAGCTGGCTGCTCCCTGCTCGCCTCGCTACCCTGGCGCCCACAGCTGGAGTCAGAACCTGCTCCAGCGAGTTTCTTTGTTTTTCTAGCCATGTCCCTGCACTTTCCTGACTCCCCTCCTCTACCGCTATCCCTGTGCCTTCTTGTCTGTCCTTCCTTCTGAGCTGTTGTCCCATCCATTTCTTTCATCCCTCCTTTCTCTGTTGCCTCCTATTTCCTTCCTTTCTTCATTCACCTTCCCCTGAACTGAGCCTCTGGGAAGTTTTCCAGGAATTTGCTTTCGTCCTCCAGTTATAGGGGAGTATAATTTGAAAACATTTTTCATGAAACCAGGCGAGACCTTACAACCTGAGCGGTCAAGTATGGTATGTACTTTCTGTGGCTCATTAAACACTTAAAAATTTGGACTGGAGCTAGCTTTGCCTTTTAATGGGCTAGAGCTTTTCCAGGAACTTAGGCTTCTCCCTCTCTTTTCCTGCCAAGCAGACTCTAAAGTGACTTGTGGCAGATGGTGACTCCAGGGAAGGGGCAGGATGGGGCAACCTGGCACCGATGGAATGATTTTCCCTTTGGCCAAACTCACAGCAAGTAAGATTAGTAGTAGCAGGAGCTCGATTGTGGTTTGCCTTCTCTCCTAGGATGCTGCCTCCCTCGGCTCTCAGAAGGGCGGGATCACCAAGCACGGGTGGCTGTACAAAGGCAACATGAACAGTGCGATAAGCGTGACCATGAGGGTAAGGTGGCCCATCTCCCTGCATTCCCCTCTCATTAAACCCTTTCTGCTATAGGTCTTGGTAATAATGCTCAAAACGAATGGGTATGCTGTTCTTCCTGGCAAAAGTGACACTGTCTGGTTAGTAAGATGCCTCCCTGGTGATAGACCCCCATTGGTAGTGTGCCACTTCCACCCACTTTCCCTGCTTCACCCTCCGACCACTAGCATGACGAGACCATCATTGGGCTGGTGTGAAGGTGCAGTCGCCAATGTGGGCTTTCTTCCCTGGATCCACTGCAACAGTGGCACCTCCAAGCACATCACCCAGGGGGTAAATCTGAGCACTTTGGGGAGGTCCACTGTGACCAAGTCAAGAAAGGCAAAACTTGAGAACCAAAGGGAAAACTGTTAGATTGGAAGGGGATTGCAAAGAGAAGAGCAAAGCTAGTATAAAAAGCCATTCAGGAGAGGAGGAGGACCAGAGAAAGACCAGAATAAATAATAAAGAGGAGAGAAATAATGGAAGGGAGGTAGGATGGACTAAAGAAGAGTTCAAGGGAAATGCTGACCATCATAATCCTGAGGCTGGAAAATCATTCAGTGTCACGAGGCAGAGAAAAGTTCCTGTTCTGTGTGAGCAAGAAACCCTGGGGATTTGAGAAAGTTTCCATCCTTCTGTACTGCATCCCAAATTGGAACTCATTGCACTGCTTTTGGGTGGTTATGTAAAAATATCAAATTCTGTGGGTGAGAAAAATGACCCATGCATGTTAAGTGAACCACTGCCTCAGAATTTAAATGCACTGAAATTATTAAAATGTGGTGGAGAGTCTTAACTCACCATTACCTGGGGCGTTGGCCAGAATTGGGTTTGTTTTGGAGAGAATAGAAGTGGTTTTTACATATGTATACAGCTGTGAGTTATCGATAGACATTGTGACTCTCTTCATTTTGAAACAATAGCTGTGTATGTATTCTTCTCTCAGTCATTTAAAAGACGGTTTTTCCACCTGCTTCAACTTGGTGACGGATCCTACAATTTGAATTTTTATAAAGATGAAAAGATCTCCAAAGAACCCAAAGGATCGATATTTCTGGATTCCTGTATGGGCGTGGTTCAGGTAAAGATGAATAGAGTTCTATCATCGAGTTTTCTTATCTGTTAAGAGTGCCATCTGGAATGAGCAGATTTAAGCAAACACTTCCAAAAGTGGCAGTATTGGGGGTGGAAACAGAATAGCTGATTGTCAGGTGAGTAAAGGCTTGTTTTTCATCACGATGGAAGCTGGCCCATGAAGCCGGCAGGGTTCTGTTGTAGTAGGCCTGGTGCCCTGGCATGCGAGTTCCTGTGTCTAAGATAATGGCTCAGCTGCTTTACAGCTGTGTAACCTTGGGTAGGCTGTTAACAAAAGTTCCTTCATATGCAGAATGTGCGTAATGATCATGTTTCCTTAATAGGGTACATTGAGAGGACTAGGTGAATTAATTTGGAAATATCCAGAACAGTTCTTAGCCTCTCACTACGATCATAGTACCAATAGCAGGGTAGTCAAAAGACTGGGTTTCAGATCCAGACTGAGTTCAAATCCCTGCTCTACCACTTACCAGCTGTGTAACCTTGGAGACATCATTGATCCTCTCTGTGCCTCAGTTTCCTCATTTGTTAAATTGGGATAATTGTCAAATATGGTTACTGAGAGGATTAATTAATGTATGTAAAGAGCTTAGAACCGTGCTAGCCAATGGTAAGAATTCAACCAATATTGGGTATTTTTGTTATCATATGCTATTGCAGTTGTATAGTTATTTTTTTTTTTTTTGAGATTTTATTTATGAAAGAGAGAGAGAGAGTGAGCATGAGTGGGGGAAGGGCAGAGGGAGAGGGAGAAGCAGGCTCCCTGACGCGGGACTTGATCCCAGGACCCTGGGATCATGACCTGAGCTAAAGGCAGACACTTAACCAACTGAGCCATTCAGGCACCCCAGTTGTAGAGTCATTCTTAAAAATTATTTTTAATCATGCATAATGTACTCATAACATACTTATATATTTAAAAAAATCATATTGTACAGATAAACTGGAGGTCCCTCTCGATCCCCATCTCTCCCTTTCCCAGAGAGATGCTGTTACCAGTTTGATGTAGGTTCTTCCATACCTTCACAGAATTGTCTTTGAAAGCAAGTTGCCAGTTTCCCGAAGTGCCCATCCATCCACCCACTCCCCTGCCACTTTCCAGGAAGTTCTAAGGCAGTAACATACAGGGATCCATAAAACACAGGATTGCGTGAATTTAAAGTGAGTTTGAAAGCAGGAAGGTGAACAAGGAGTCGGGGTAGGGAGGAGATGAAGAGGAATTAGCTAAGAAAAAAGCAGAGGTGTTAAAGACACCTGCTGTGGGTGGGTAGCAAACTGGGCTCTATGCTTTCTAGCTGGGAGACCCATTCAGTAGCACAGTGCACACGGATGCAGACAATCCAATTAGTCAGAAGCTGTCCGAGTCATCTCAGAATGAAGATCATTCAGGCATTTCTCATGGGGGCCCTCATACAGAGGGCACTGTGCGCTTAATGAACAATCTCCTTGACAACTCCTCACAATAGATGCAGTCACCATTATCAGAGAATTCTTCCTAAAAATGACTCAGTGTTGGCTGATGATATTGGCCTGAAGCTCGGTTCTACAAGAAAGGTTGTTTTGTGGGGCCAGTGTGATTGAGGTTGGAGACACAGCTGTCTGGTTTGACTTTCAGGTGTGTGTACTTGTTTATGTACTCACATGTGTAAAACTAAATTGCATTTTTATCCCAGTAATGCATTCATCTGGGTCAAACAGTGCAGAAAGGTAACATTGCATGCATGTTCCTGCTTACAACACCTCCACCTCACCCACTCCTCACTCCCCTGAAATGATCACTTTCAACTTTTTCCACTCTTCTTTCTGGGGATGTGCCTTCATAATGCTGGATAAGGCATGTCTGCTGCTTTTTGTCAGTTGTGGACATTATATGATGGAAGGTGGGATTTTAGCTCCTGCAGCCCTCCCTCCTGCTCTAACCTAGACTAATTGCTTTCTTGGCCTCTGGATAGTCGTCATTCTGAAAACTCTTTGCCTTCCTCCCTGCATTGGATTCCCTGTTTCCAAGATCCTGTGTCTTCTTCAATCTTGCTTTACTTCCTTGTTTTGGAGGAGCACATTCTCCAAGTAGCCTCCTGAGAAATCATGTCTGAGTGGTTAATTTCTTGAGCATTAACTTACCTGCAAATACTTTCGGTTTTGCATTCACATTTGATTGATAGTTTGGCTGTATGTAGAAATCCAAGGTGAAATTTACCTTAGAATTTGAAGACACTTCATTTTCTTCTGGATGCTCATGTTCTTTTGGGGGTCTGATGTTATTCTTATTCTCTGTTCTTCTCCATCTTCTCTTTACCTCTAGTGACCTGAAATTTAGGTTAGTTTGTCTTCATTCTGATTTTTTTGGTAAACTTTTTTTGTTAAGGCATAACATACAAATAGAAAATGTACACGTGATGAATGCGTGACTCCCACTGCTTCTAAATTTGGATCTCTTGTCTTACGTGCTGCGAACTCTGGGAGAGCTCTCATTCTGGAAACTGTGTCCTGTATTTTGTAGCCACCTTGGTCTTCCTGAACTCTGGTCAGTCTCATTAACTCAGGGAGACTGCAGGACTCTGTCCAGGTTCCCCTTTCTGGGCCACAACCCGGATACCACCTCCAGCAGAGTGCTGAGTTGCTGCTAGGGCTCACCTCATTTATTTCCCGTCCATCAGGGTCCCAGGCCTGCCCTACCTGTTGTCAAATATCTGAAAACAGTTGTTTCATCGATTTTGTTCCGTTTCCTAGTAGTTATGATGGGAGAGTAAATCCAGACTCTGTTACTTCATCAGGCCAGCAATAGAAGTTGGGGGTCCAGACTCAGATGTCTACAGGAGCCAAGCAGGAAAATTAAGTAAAAGAAGAGGCCTGAGTGTAGAGTAAGAGGGAATGGTGAGAACTATGACAAACAGGAGCACAAATGGTCCTGTCTCATGGGGCCAGCGCCTCTCAGCTGTGGCTGATGCTGCTGGACAGAACTACCGGCTCAAGGTAGTTCCGGATGATCTGTTTTTTTATTTCCCCCCAAGAAATGCAGAAATATAATTTTTTACTTAAATCTTGGTGTTTTTAATTATTGGAAACCAATTTAAAAACAAAAAACCCAAAACACTACTCAGGATATCCCCCCTCAAAATGATGGAATACACAAAAGTATATTTGGGCCATAGATCAAGATGATAGCACCATTCACTGAAAATTATCTTTGCATCAACGGCTAATTGGCCTGTGGGTGACTCTCGGCCAGGAACTCCACCTCAGCTGAAAGCAGCCATGGTGGAAACCAGACTGTATCAAAATAGTTTATTCACAGTGTAAAGTAGGCACTACCAGAGTGAATTGTCAACGACAGTGAATTAACTTCTTGCGTGGGATTTCCAAGTAGGAATTTCATTTGTATTCTTGAGTTGAGAGACCTTTTAAGTTACTTTTCAGTTAAATCTTCTGGCACTGACTTTTAAAAGAAGTTTAAAGCAAAACAAGAGAGTTTGGTCACCTGTGTCACAGCCTTTAGGTGACTTATGCATCCAGCTCAGTCTCTGCAGTGGCCTTCATAACTTTAGCTTCTGACTTCAGGGGACATCTCTTCCTTCGTATTCTTTTTGTCCATGTGGCCGATGTTTTTTAGCATTTAATGAATTGTAACCAAGGCTTCAAAAATGTTAAGTAATTTGTTTTTACCAGATTTGTTTGTAAGCTAAGTGCCAACAGTTGTGTGTGTGTGTGTGTGTGTGTGTATGTTTTAAAATTGTTTCTGGACATTGTAACAACAACAAAAAAGTAGTTGATTAATGCTATGGGTTCAAAGAAATGCATAAACTGGAATTTTTAAATAGATCTGAAAGAAATCCAGTGTAGAATCTTTAGGCCTAAAAGCATTTTCGGACCTTGAAGTTGATTACACTTATTTTCAGATCAGGACGCTGAGGCTGAGAAAGAAAAACAATGCAGAACCAAGGCCTAATGTCTCCCCGACTTTTAACTTGTTATTTTCACAGTTGTGAGTGGGACAGAAAACACATTTCATAGCCAGCCTTTTGATTCCTGTCTGATTCTTGCCCTGAGGTGAAGGGAGGTGCCTACAGCAGGCAGTCTGTGCATGGGAGTTTGTTGGCCTTGCTTGGTGTGGCATCATCCTGTGTGTCTGAGAAGCACGCTTCAAGGAACGCAGACGCCTTGGGGAGGGTCAGCCTGTCCCTGCCACCTATGCTGAGGAGCCCTGGGGAACTGCTGCTAACCAGCTAGCATCTAGTGGGCCAGGGCTACTCTGCCCCCTACAGGTTGTCCTCAATCTGTGCATGCAAGGGATCTAATGCTACAGTCCTTAGAGTCAAACTTCTTTCTAGTTCTGTTCCTTGGTGGGGGGTGGGGTGGGGAGGGATTTTGCTCACCAGTGGAGGTTTGTTACTATCTGGAGACATGTTTTGATCTTTACACCTGGGGTTATGCTCCTGGCATGTCGTGGGTAAGGCCAGGGATGCTGCTAAACATTCTGCAGTGCATAGGACAGCTCCCACAACTATTGGTCCCGAACGTCAGCAGTGCCAAGGTTGAGAAACCCTGATCTAGGGCACGTTCATCCTCCATCATTTAATGCATGTGGCTACTGTTTTTGTACTTGGAGCTGGATATTCTTTCATAAGTATAAAAACTGGAGGCATGAGGGAAGGCTGTAGACCTGGTATCAAAATACCTTTGGGGACTCAAAAATAATGGGAAAGTTCCAGAAAAGGAAGTCAAATATATTGATAGATAATGGTTTTGTTTTTGTTTTTTTTTATGGTTTGCTTTTTAAAATGTGACACCATACACTACTTCATTAAAATAAAAAAAGAAGGAGCTAGAGGAGTTGAAAATTTTCAGTGAAATTTCACGCATTCAAGAGCCTATTGTGTGCCAGGCAGTGTTCCAGAAATACAGATGTAGCACTGAACAAAAGAAATCTCTGCCCTAAGGAGCTCTCCTTCCATTTGAGGAGACAGGAAACAAACAAGATAGATATGTAAAATGCATAATGTCTCAAATGAGAAAATTATGGAGACAGTAAAAGCAGGGAAGGTCGATAGTGATGGGGGTTTGCAGGAAAGGGGCTTGCATTTTTAAATAGCTTGCCCCAAATGCCAATGAGGGAGCACCCCATCAGCAAATAATGAAGAGAAAAAAATTTAAGGCCATTCCAATTCTCTTAAAATGTATCTCTTTTACTCCTTTTCAATTTCAGAACAACAAAGTCAGGCGGTTTGCTTTTGAGCTCAAGATGCAAGACAAAAGCAGTTACCTTTTGGCAGCAGACAGTGAAGCAGAAATGGAAGAGTGGATCACAATTCTAAATAAAATTCTCCAGCTCAACTTTGAGGCTGCAATGCAAGAAAAGCGAAATGGAGACTCTCATGAAGGTAAGTAGATCCAGCTTTCTCCAGGTACATGCATACTTTGTTGGTGTCTTTAATTTTGTCAGAGGGCATGGAAAGTGGATGTATTGCACAGGTACATGAGCAGTGGGACAGATGTGAGCTCTCTATAGAGGGCTTGTCAGCAGAGGCTTTATCACATTGGAATTTACTACCCTGACAACATTTTTATCAGGAAATCATGTAATAGGAAGAACCATAGCTTTGGGGGCAGAAAGGAAGACCGGAGTTCAAATTTCAGCAATACCGTTTTTCAGCTCTGAGACCTTGGGCAAGCTACTTCCATATTCTGAGCCTTGGTTCACCCATCTCTGAAATGGGAATGAAATGGAACTTCTGTTTGATGGGAGGATTTAGTAAGATTATGTATCTTGAGTACCTGGCATAGAGTCAGCACTTAAAATACTAAGTATAGTTATTACTATTATCATTAATCTTATCCTTTAGAATTTTAAAGACAAAGTTAAGATAGGCAGACTCCTCATTAATTTGGTGGGAAATATTTGGCTGTGTTTTTGACAATTCATGTTTTATTTCAAGGCCCTAGGCACGTGATTCTCAACCCTGGCTGTACCTTAGATGTTCCCAGGAACTTTTAAAAGAATTCTCTTTCCTTGTCCCACCAGAGACACTGATTCAGTTGGCCTGGGGTGGGACCTGGCAGGACTGACTTTTAGTGGGTCTGATGGATGTGACCATGTGGGCTGGTGCTCATAACTAATATTGGTTCTTTTTAGACAGTGTTCATGGTATATCAGTTATTAAATGTTTGACTCTCAACACGGGGCATCAGTATTTTTTTAAAAAGCTCTGAGGTGTTTTTAATGGGCATCTAGAGTTGAAAACCACTGCGTTCAAGGGTACAAAAGAGAAATGGCCTTCCTGATTTAAATAAAATACATTCAATTACAAGTGACTCAGGTAATCTGTTTTGCCATTTCAGATGATGAACAAAGCAAATTGGAAGGTTCTGGTTCTGGTTTAGACAGCTACCTGCCTGAACTTGCTAAGGTAATATCATCCTAAGTCTTCTGCTTTTTGTAGAATGGTATTGAAATATTTCTCATTTCCTAAATCTGTCCAGGATAGAATCTGTTGAAATGATTAGCAGTTACATT